CTACTAGACTAAAAACAAAGTTTAAAGATTTCTAATAATATCTAATTAACAATTATAAGCCTGGCATCACCCGGCTACATCATGTGTGCCCAGATATGACTTGTTGCACCAACCCACAAGTGGGTCGGAAGACCTTGTCAGCTTTATCAAGAACTAAACCAAAAAGAAGTTGAGCCATTTTCAACCCATTCATCAACACCCATCTCGAATAACTTTGCAACTTCAGCATCTTTCTCAATACCTACTACTTTACCTATTCCACTCGATTCACCAATATTCCTACTTTTCCTTACTTTTGACGTTGTGCTCTTACTGGTATCTTTGACATCTGACTTCTTTTGGTTGCTTCTCTTCATTGATGTATCAATACTGTTCTATTTTTCCCATTTTGCAACTGCTTTACATTTAATTCGCCAGATCTCATCAAGGAAGCTACTTTCTACGATCGGCATATAACTGCCTAGTACCAAGTTTATATTCTTCCTTAATATCTTCAAATCTAACAAATCTACCACAACGTCATTTGGTATAAGCCCTCTGATATAATCTTTTCTCCGCTTGGTTCACTTTTCAAATGTACTACTGCCAATTGCCACTTCAAACATTTCAGTAGATATTGACCTCTTGTATACATGATCTAACTTCTTCCATGCAAGCAAGCATGTGACCTTCTCTATGATACTCCAGTAGTTATCATATCGCATACACACTACCAAGTGATCAAAAGTTTCTAAATAGACCTCTGGCTTTCTTCTCTTTAATGACGATAAGACTGGCAAATTGTCATTTATACACTTAATTTAGAAGGCTATATTTCTGCTTGCAACTTGTATCTTGCACTTGATCTCTGTTGTCTTTCTATTCTGGCACCACAAGGCCTTCCAGCTACAGTTTGTGTCTGTTTTACTTTCGTACTGCTTGATAGCACTCGAACTACGCCATTTTGCACCGGTCTTAAAGCCCATTAGCGTCTTGACTAGTTTTCTTGTTGTTATCTCAACTGGTATTTCATTGAGATAGGCCTAAAATCTTATGCGATGATTTTTCTCCATGACCAGTAATGAACACCAAGCTAACCGAGCCCCTTCTTTTGCCAGTTGGTCGGCTCTTTCATTCCATTTTACCTTACTGTGTGCTTTCACCTTAATCAACCGAAGAACCAAAGACTTTGATCTACATATATCTTTAATCTTAACTACTAAACTTGCATTCTGCTTCTTATTCAACAATCTTATATCAGTAAGCGTCATTGGATCTTCTTGGCTTGCAATAGCCACAGCACTATCTAGCTTAACTATAACTTCACTTCTGCACCTAGCTGTCAATACTACCATTAACACAGCTACTAACTCTGCCTTTGTTGATAATGGCCATCTACCAAATCTAATCTTTCCCTTCGCAAGAACCGTCTTTTCCAAATTATTGACCTGTACCCAACCTGCACCCATCCTACAACCTTCACTACTTTTGATCAAGGACCAATTAGTATAATACACACTACTATCTACATTTCTACTATAGTTACTCTCCAATTGCTGTATTAACAGTGACTCTAGCTAGCTCCTAGTCAAAACCCTGCTCTACAACTAAGCTTTTTTCATGTGAGTCCATCACTACTATACTATTTAACTCACACTCACTTTTCGCTTTAGCTGACGTAATATTACCTAATCTAAAACCCTTAATCTTTCTTAATAGGACTGGTACTCTCTTTCCATCAACCCTACTAATCTCAGAAATTGCTTCTAGTATCCTTCTTTTCTTAACCCATTGTTGGCATATACCAACCTCATCTGTTTGACTCAATTTACACTTCTTGCAACTTTACAGCCTATTTTCACTATTAGTCGATGACTCAGGAACCCAATGATCGATTAAAACCTGCACTTTTCTTTTTTTTCTAACTTAACCAACTATTGAATCTGCATTTTCATTGTTGATAATTACCCACTCATGACGTCTTCGGTCATCAGATAACCTCTTCACCTTCGTTTGCATATACATCCAATTCTCTTCTAGAACCTTAAAGTTATCTTCTATCTCTCTACTTTCTATATATCTAATCACTTTTCTCCCAATCACACTAAACCATTTTGCCTTTCGGCCTTTCAGAGACTTCGTTCTCAATGCGCGTAGTTGGTTCCATGTTATCATCTTCGTACCAGTTCTATTGATTAACTAGTTTATATAAAACATATTGAAACTCCTAATACTACTACAATAGGCACTGTATGTCTCTTCTCCAATTACTTCTGCTATTGTAGGACCTGTACTCCAAATTTGTCACTTATCTGTATTAGCACGGAGTGACACACCTAATTCATTTACTTTGACTAAAATTGATCCTGCCAGATTATTTTTCCAGACCTTTCTGAGATACCAATTTTGTGATTTTGACCAATTTTCTTTTACTAATCTAGCCAATGCATAACCCTCATTTAACCTTATTTGTATCATCTTCCCTACTTGATCCAACCTATTAAGTCTATTCTGCAAGCATACTAGTTGTTTGCTAAATAGCTTCTGGCCCAAGGATCTACAACGGTCTAGTCCTTGATGTGTCACTATTTAATTGCCTGCTGTTGCTAGCAACCCTATTTTGTTTTTAAATATTCTTATTACTGGTTGGTATATTCTATCTATGCTTGCTTCAGTTAATTTTGTTGTCTGTAACATATAGGCTAGTTTCGGCACTATACACATGTTATTCACATAGATTAGTTGGCTGATAGACAGACTCTTGCACCTTAAAGTGCTCCACAATACCCTTTGCCTTTTTAGCTAATACAGTTTCATGTGGATCTGCGCTTATCCAAATGCCAAGTAACCGCGTCAATGTTCTTTTCTCCTCAGCCTGTAGCTTGTACCCATCAATTTCAATCCACCTCTCACTCTTCTTCAAATTTGTGTTTACTACTATTAGCTTGGACTTTGCACCATTTATTTATATGTCATTAAACTTGAAGAATCTTTGTGCTATTTCTATTATCTGCTCTACTTGGACTTTATTTTCTGCAATTCAAATTATTATTTATTTGATTTTTAATTTATTAGCTTATAACTTATTTATTTTTATAGACAATTAAGAAGAAATGATAATGACTACTTAACTAATCTTGAATTATGCTATGAAAATATAGCTAGATTTAAGAGACTTACCAATATAATTAATTATAATGAACCTGTTGCTGCAATAACAAATAATACAAAACTTAAATTAAGATTGTGATATTTACCTAATCTTGAATGTATTGTTGGATCAGTATTATCAAATGAGAAAACAAAAGTTAATATATATAACGATAATCCAAGAATAATCAATAAGATCAAAGAAGAAAACGGAATTGCAAAAAATATTTATGCATATCTTTTACAGGTAATTAATAATTACAGAATTATGAATTAATATATATAAATATATTAATATACTGTATTTATTGCTATATAATTTATACAAAAGATATCTTTATCTGTATTTCCTCCAATAGTTATTGCTCTAATTCCAAATAATGGAACAGATACCGCAGACTTAATATTACAATTACATAAGCAATTAATTATCAGTATTGCATCACAACTTGGTATTCATATACTTTTTTTAGAATCAGATAGTGCTATAACAGAATTTCAAGCACAACAATCAATTTTTAAGACTCAAACAAATGAAAAATTAATAGTTAAAGAACCTTATTTGAATATCAATTTTTCATGTCCTATTTTCGATCATGTTGGTCCTGTGATATGTGTTCAAGATCCCAAACATGCTAAAAAAACAGCACAAAATGCTATAATATCTGGAGCATACTTGTTAACTTTTGGCAATTCTTAGCACAATATGATCATTTTTTACAACTTATTAATCAGCATAATTTTGTAATGTTTAAAAATGATATTATTAAACTGGACTGACAAGAGGATATAGCAGCTTATCGAACTTTTTGTTTGTCAAATTTTCGCCAATGTTTAATGACTGATTATTAAGTTAAACCCGGAATAGAAGGGTTTGCAATTTATCTTTTTGTATTAGATAAACTTAATATTTGTTAATTTCTTAACTTAAAACTATATTAACATTAATTATAATATATTTTAAAGGTGAAATAATTGATAGTTATCTAAATTGGAATATTGTACTACTTGAACAAATTAGAATGATTATGACTAGTTATTTCTTTCTTCAATTATAGCATACTTATATAGAAATTTTTTCTCAAAAATATTCTAATTTTATTTCAATGCAACAAAATTTTTTAGCAAATTAGATATTTGCTATTTTTATTTCACTTTGTGAATCACTTGTTCTATTAGTTAAAGCTTACTGTGAATATTATTCACAAATACTGTTATTACCTTGGTTTCATGGATCTGAGCTGGTTGAGTATTTTTTTGGCATTGCACATTAGCTGAACTCGGATTTTGATTTTCTTAATTTAATCCAAATAATTCCTAAAATATCACAATATAATAAAGCTTTAAGATCAGAAAAATTAAATTTTGCTAAAGAAAAAACTATTCATTAAGGTAAATAATATTTTTTTATCTAATACGTATATTAACTATTTTAATACATACATATTAAATTTATTTACCTGTTATGTATTAGGTTACTATTTTGATTACAATTACGGAAATTTAAGTGAATCAATATTAGAAATGTTAAGACTATGACCAACTGATAAACAAATTTCTCAAACAATCAAATATTCACATTGATTAGCTTGTAAACTTGCTAAATTTCTTAATATTGTGTAGTTTATAGATAATTCTTTTAAGCCTAACTCACAAATATTTGTTAGTATTTATGAAGAAGAGGTTTCAACTTATTTAAATAATTAAGTAATTAACTCTACAAATAATGAAGAGCAAGATGAAAGTAATGAAAATAATGAAATTAGTATTTTTATAGCAATAAATAAAGCTTCTTGTAAAATAAAACATATATCAATGGAAGAGTATAATGAAAAAATTTTATTAAATAATTCATTTCAGAAAGGGAGTTCACAGCTAAATATAATCAAGCATTTCTCTGAAAATTATTCTATTTTATATGATGATGATAGTAGTAAGTTATTATTATTTATTTTAAATATTTACTGCCTAAAGAAAACCTGTCATTAGGCTTTTAATTATATTTTGTATTAAATACAATTAAAAGCCTGCTGACAGGTTTTTTCTTGGCACTTATATAATTACAAGTGCATTTTTATTTATAGTATTTAAATACAGTTAACTCAGAATTTCAATATGGATCAAAAAGTATAGATTTCGAAATTTTATTACAACAATAACAAAGACATGAAGCTTATACATCAAGATCACTTGAACAAAAATTTAAAATACCATCTGCAAAATTTAATACCATAATAACAATTTATCCAAATAAGGCTAGCCATATTGTTGTATATTTTTCTAAAAATGAAAATCCTAAACAAAGACTAGTTAAACAACGTGAAAGACAATTATAAAAATATATTAAATACTTTAGCTCAAATTTATACTAGAGAATTAGCACAATCAAAAAAGCACAGACTAATTAAAAAGAAAAAATCTTTTATTCAAAGTATAAATTTTATTAATTATATAATTTATTTATAAATTTATATTTAACTCATATATTTAATTTATTATTAAATATCGAAAATGCAAATATTTCAGAAGATTTTCTATTATTGAAGAATAATTATATTTTTGTAATCTATGATGATCAAATATGCATAGAAAAAGTTGTTGCTGTTTATTTTGAAGCTTATGGTTGGCATTGTTATGCTGATAAAGCTATAACAAACTTAGATAATGTGTCTTATATATCTTTACATATTTATATACCAATTTATCGAGATTTGTTTAGTGATACAATGATAGAAAGATATAGTATTTTAACACATCATTTAGTATCTAATATCATTTATCACATTGGAACAACTGGCATATCAATTGAAAATAATATTTTAAAATTAGTAGGAGAGGAAAAACAATATTTTAATTATTTTAGCCAAGAAAAAATAATTAGAATGATTGTTGAACAAATTTAATGTAAGTTTACCACAAAATCCCGAAAACCATTTTCCTGAAAGAAAATAATACCAAGTAAAATGACCAGCATTATAACTAATGCTGGCTAACTTTGTCGGTATTAGGTCCCTTTAGGAATCTGTCTTTCGGAATTTTGTAGTAAACCCATTTAATATAATTACAATATGTATAATAAATACAATGTTAAAATTTTATTTACAAATAAAATTTTAAATTGATTAAAATTAGGCAATATGTATAAATAAATTTTAATAATATATATTTTACAGACAAGGTCAACAGTTTGATTATAGCTGGTGATAATTAATTTAATTAATTATCTCTGTAACCTACAGGAGCTTTCGAATATGAAACCCTGTGACGATAAAACCATGTGAAGTACATATTTGGCTTATAAAGAATTCTTAGAAGGAGTCTCGAGCCATAGAGAAGACTAGATACTATGTGTGACATGGCAGCACAGAAAGTAGTACTGCATAAGGCTGTGCATGTAAATCCTTGATTGGCTAGATAGCACCAACAACCCTAAGGCGGTCTTGAGGATCTTGATTGAGAGAACGGCTAAATGCAGTATATCTAAAAGTGGTGAGAGAAGCAGTGAATACAGTAAGAGGCTGTGGTAAGAAAATGGCTTTACCAAATTAAGGAACACCTCTGGCATACAAGATTGAAAAATTGGAAAACTAATAAGAAAACACTGCATATCACAATGTTGATAATAGGTGCCATACTGATGTACTATAAATCAAGGTTCTAGATCTCCTTGTATTATCAAGCTGGAAGTAAAACGATCGTTAGTAGTACACCTATATAACATAGTTATATTGGAAAGCTTCAGTGCTCATACTACAGTCAATCATACCAACTATGAAAGCATTGTATAAAGTAGATAATACACTGCAGATAACAACTAGAGATTCGATAAATCTAGCCATACTATATAGTACCAATATATGGAGGGCTATGTACACCAATATGGAAGCAAAAAGAGCAAAAAACTGCTGGAATGAACTAATTTGGGAGAATTATAAGGTTGCTACAGGAAGTAGATAGGGGAGTATAATAGTACAAAAATAAGTAATAATAGAAAATCTTGTAATATAGTACATAATTGAGGACTAATTAGAAAGATTGAAATTGAGATATGGATTGTATTATAGCTACACCCCAAAAGGTGGCATGAGATATGAATACAATGGTGGTAGTTAATATGTACTAATTGGGAAAAAAATTACAGAAAATAATTACATGGGTGGAACATATAATAGTAGGTTGCTCCAACCGACCCTAGCTTGAAGTTGGCTTGAAATAGTTAATGGAAAAGTAATATAAAGAAATAAGGAGTATAATGCCACATTGGGTGACTAGTAATAGTAATACAAATATAATTAAAAACTATATATTAATTGCTTTGTAAAAAGGTATTAATCATAACTAATAAAGTTTCTATGTTTGGCAATATAAAAAAAATATATATATATATATATATATATGTAATTACATATTATATTATTTATTTTTCTGTTTTCTCTTTTTGTATTTAATACTATGAAATAATACTGCTTCTGTATATCATATTTATATCCAAATTTGTTTTAATCCATACTTCTATAGCTGAAAATCTTTTAAATCATTCAAATTTGTATAGTAGTACTACATGCAAATTGTATGTACTAAATTCAATCTTATAAGAATTATTACATAATTCTAGAAAATTAAATGAAATTTCAAAGTAAAATACGTGAAATTTGCAGATTTAAAAAAAAAGAAATTGATGATTTCTGATTTCTTTAATATTATATTTATATATGATTACTAATATTCAATTATTTATTGCAGTTGTATTAATTTTTTATGATTAGATGAGTGATTATGGTCATGATTGCTAAAGCTAGCCAATTATCATAAACCTGAATTTGTGTCAAGCCAGATTTATAATAAATTGGCTGGCTTTAGCAATCACAATCATTTAATTATAAAAATTAATCATATAAGTTACAAACTACAATAAATATTTTAAGATCTAAAATCATACAATAATACTAGATAGTTTATAATTACCTATATAATAAGTTTTTAGTTAGCTTGAACAAATTATATTTTACTAATTTTTTATTATCTAGTCTATCAGAAATCTATCGAACAGAACTTTTTCAATTGAATCGGGCTGCCAATAAAATTATTTTAGCAAAATCAGAGTTTAAATAAATTGAAATATATATTTAGTATAGTATATTAATATTTAGTTAGTATAATATAAGCAAAAAATCGACAAATTCTTATTTGGAGCTGTTCTGATTTTAGATTCATTTAATTTGACATTTTTATTTTAGCTTAGTGTTAGTCAGATATAAAATTTATTTATTAATATTACCGTAGTCTATATATTAGAAGTTTATTTTGCATATTTTTTTTAATTTTCTTGTAGTAAGGTATAAATTTTGCATACCAATCTTATAAAAAATATATGCATATAGCAATTAGTAAAAAAATTAAAAGTCACTTTACCTATATATATATATTTCGAGGTTCTAGTAATCTGAGTCATATTTTAAGTTTATATAGTTAAAAAACCATTTTTTAAAGATATCTTGGCATCTACAAGGCCGATTTGAATGATTTAACTACTATTAAAACCGCAAAAATGAGCTCTACAACTTTTAATTAAGTAACAAAGTCAATTAACTTAGTATAAAAAAAGTTTTCTTTAGATAAATATTAGAAATTTTTCATATTCAGGCTATATTAAATTTATATAGTAAACCGCGTCATGTTACACTATGATCATTCTTCTGTTAAGTGGCAGATCATCAATTAATGTATGTAGAAGTACCTCAAGCTATAGCCTACAGAGAAAATTACTATAAAATGAATAACAATAATAATACACTCCTGGGAAGCAAAAGACTTATAATGCTATCTAACTATAGCAATGCTTGAAAGAGCAGGATAACCTGCACAAAACATGTCTGGGTTCTTGATATCATAAAGAGTAGTATAGTCATTTGCATTTATCTAATTTGATATGTATAAGACTAAATATATTCTGAAAGTTGCAGGAAAGTTGATAGATTGTAGCAGTATGCAGGCTTAAGATACTTATTTAATTGGGTAGAGACAGCTATATAGCTTGAGATATAAACCCTCTTCAAGTATGCCAAGTAGGAATATAAGGCACACCAATTTGGAAGCTTTATGCACCTATCTGTTCAAGACACCAATTTGGGAGTTGAGTTATTAGGTAAGTGGGTACATAGATGGAAATCAATTAGAGGTGAGTAGAAATATACAAAAACCAGATTAGCTGTATAGTAAGAATACAGAAGATTCTAGTAGGTTTAGGTTACAGATAGTAGTCAAGACCTGTCTGAGCCGAAATGTACTTAATAATAGTATATTAAAAATAATTATATTATATAATATATATAAGAATATATATATATTTAAATAAAGTTATAAGATATAACCTTACTTTAATTTTAAAATAATAATAATAATAATATAAATTTTTTTTTTTTTTTTTTTTTTAACAGTAGCTACTTTATTAATCTTTAGTAGTTAAGTGTCTCTTTTTGTTGAGATGTACAAGGTTTTATCAGTACAAAACTTCTAGAAATTATATCTCTACTGACTTTGTAACAAAGCTTTACTTGGCTACTCAAAAGTGTCCAAGTGTAATTGTCTAGCTACAGATTTTTCTTTTCTTTGGCCCCTAACTCACTAGAGAGTTACTCTCCAGATCAACAGAAGGCCGTGCTTACCCTTATTTATATATATTTTGCTATTTATACTACTGTACAATGTCTACTAGTTATAATCCACTCCTTGTTACTTATCATATTACTTCTAATTTGTATCTTGTATAATTTCTAAATTGGTGTCCTAGAAGTGAGCGCTTTTTTTGCTTCCAGTTTGGTGTCTTTCAAGATATTACTTTAGATCCTAATCAGTATCTCAAGCCAGATACTGCCACTATCCAAAGACCCATATTTCAAGCTATCTGCTGCCGCTATTAAGAAAGCTGTTTGTATGGATCCAGGCAATGTTGTTCATTTTTGATGTCTGAGTCAAATTTGGCGGACCGGACATTTTTGGACATTGTCTGATATCCAAGTCTGAATTTTGTTTATGTGAATGTATTGTCACTCGGACAATGTCCGAGTAATATATTTCAGACTCGGACATGTCCGTATGAATTTCATTTATTTATATTTCGATTTATTTAAATATTTAATTATATCAAAAATAAAACACTTATTATTTATTAAATTTTTTTTTTATTTACAAAACTTTTGCTAAAAACATTTTTATATATTTAAATTCATATCCCATGTCCCACAAATACTCTTTTAGTCTCATGCTTCACGTTCTCTAGGCAGATCTGTTTATGGTGCTATTTCGTGTTTCTGAAAAAAGTATAGTCAAGATTGTCATTCTCAGTGATATTCCATATTTCCCGGCAAAGTACTAACCTAAAGAGAAAAAATGTATTAATGAAATAAGAAACAAACAAATAATAATAATAATAATAATAAAAAGAAACTAGTACATTTATTATACTAGCCTTGGTCAAGATCTTCATTCTCTGGTGCCAATTTATGCTTCCTGGCGAAGTACAAACTACAAAGGAAAGAACATATTAGTAACAAAAATGAAAGTAAGAAACAAAAAAAAAAAAAAAAACTGGTATGTTCGTTATATACCAGCCCAGCCCAAGATCTTTGTTCTCAGCGGCATTCCACATTTCCTGGCAAAGTACTAACCTAAAGAGAAAGAAAATGTTAGTGAAATAAGAAACAAACAAAAAATAATAATAATAATAATAATAATAAAAAAGAAACTGGTACATTCGTTATACCAGCTTTGGTCAAGATCTTTATTCTCTGGTGCCAATTCACACTTCTCGACAAAGTACAAACTACAAAGAAAGAATGTGTTAGTGACAATAACGAAAGTAAGAAACAAAAAAATCAATGAAAAAAAGAATTGGTATGTTCAT